TTCATAGTTTATGTATATGCAGTTGTACCTCAGTTCATCAACTTAATTTGTTTTAAGATTTTGGAAGATAGCCACGTTTGTATTTGTGTGGGAAAAATGGCTGCAGTCATGTTTGTTACCCAATATAGAGTTTGCAAACCAAAGCAAAATTTTGTCAAATACTTCTTTTCGGGGGGCTGGGGATTTAGCTCAGCGGCAAAAGCGCCTGCCTGGCAAGCGCAAGGTTGTGAGTTCGGTTCCCGGTACCGGAGAAAAACCAAAAAAAAAAAAATACTTCTTTTCGCAAACAGAAGTGTTCATGAATTGAGTGAAGTACCACTGCATTAAGTTTTTCGTATAAGAGGAACCATGCAATATTTAAACTTGGATGTCTGAGTTACTACACTTAACATTATGAACTCAAGATACATCCATTTTCCTGCAAATGGCTCAAGTTTATCCTTTATGGCAGATTAGTAGTCCATTGTATGTAAATACTACATTTTCTTCTGTTGTTGATTCATTCATCTGTTGATGGGCATACAGGCTTATACCACAAGATTTAGCTGTTGTGAATTGTGCTGCTTACAAACATATATTTGCGTAAATCACTGTGGCATGATGTTTTTAACATGTTCGGGAAGATACCTAGAAGGGGAATAGCATGGCCAAAGAGAATTGCTAGTTTTAGTTTTCTGAGTCATCTCCATACTGATTTCTATAGTGTTTGTATCAGTTTACAGTTCCACCAACAGTGAAGAGAAGAGTTCCTTTTTTCCTACAGCCGTGCCAGCATTTGTTACTGGTTGATCTCTTGGTGATAGCCATTCTTCTGGAGTGAGATGGAATCTCAATGTTTTAATTTGCATATCTCAAATGGCCAGCGATGTTGAACTTTTAAAGATGTGTTTATCAGCCATTTGTATTTATCTGAAAATTATTTATTCATTTCTGATGCCCATTTTTAAACTAGGTCTTTAAATTTGGGAGATCTCATTTTTTAAAATTCCTTACGTATTCTACTAGTCCTTTGTCTGAGGAGTACCTGGTGAAGATTTTTTCCCATTCTGTAGGTTGTTTCTTTACTCTGTTAGTAGTTTTCTTGGATGTGCTGAAGCTTTTTAGTTTGATGTGATGCAGAGCAATTGTTTTAATTTTTCTTTAAATAATATGATGTTGGCAGTAGGTTTGTCATTAGTGTCTTTAGTCATTTTGAGGGAAGGGCCTTCTACACATGCTTGTAATTTCACGTAAACTAACAGAGGAGTAAAATAATGTTGCTTTTCTTCAGATGTCTGTCTTGTAACCTATCAATTTCAAATTAATAGTACATTTCCTGTAAAAGAAATAGGTTATGCTTCCATTAGAATGCTTTATGAAGGCCTCAGATTTCTTTCTCCTCACTCTTAAGAGTCACTGTCTGATTTGGGAGATAGAAACAGACTCTTCTTACATATCGTTAAAGGGTGATGCCTTTCCGTGGCCTCCACAGTGTTACTAGAAGGTGCTGGTATGGTTAGGTTTTTTTTTTTTTAACCAGAAGAAATAATTTCCCAATGTTTTTATTTTGTTTGATAGTAATTTTGAATTTGAAATTTTTATTTTACTGATATTTTCAGCAAATAATTTTTTTTGATTATTAGTTGATATTTTCTAAAATATGAACTTGTACTTTAAATAATTAAGTAAAATAGACCAGACATATGTTAACAGATAAAAATGTACCTTCATTAGTAAAGGATTGAAGCCTGTTGGGCTCAATTTAGTTTTCCTAGGTAGAGATTTCAAAAACAGGTGCAGATATGTCCTGGGACTTGTCATTGGTCACTTTGGTGTATATAGTTTGTAAATCTTGATTCTAGGGAATGTTCCATATGGTTTTATGAGCCCACTCAAAAAAATATGCAAGGGCACCCAGACTGCTTCAAGTGAATGCCCACATTTCCAAACATAGTGATTTAAATTCAGTGAATTATTAGTGTACTACAGCTTTTCAACAGCTGAGCACTTTTCCACGGAAATCTTAAAAATGTGCCAACCCATGTAAATATTTCTCAAGCCTCACCACAGAGAATTTATACAGTGTCAAACAAATGAATCACTGTTTTTTAATGCCCTGAGAGAAATCATTGCTCTTTCTAGAACACTGTTTTCCTATAAGGCTCTGTAACTCTTATATTGCAAGTTTTAGAGTTAAGAAAAAGCAGTAAACCAGTACACTTTCTTTGAGGTACATAAACCATGTGTGGGGAAACACATCATCTTGTTTGGGTAGTTACTGTGGAGGGTTGGTTATAGGAGTCTGTATCAGAAAACAATGATTTTTACAAGTAACAGCAAGAAGCGTGGCACAGTAATCCATTATTTCTCCCTTTGTGTGTTGGACACTGTAATTCATCAGATGGGAAAGTCATCAAAAGGATTATTGTGTTCCTGTGGAAAATAGGAGGCTACTCATGCCAGTATACGACCAGAGAGGCAGTGATCTCTTTGGGCCTTATGTTCTGTTCTTTACCCCTCAAAGCAAAGCTGGTACTTAATCTGGTACTGAGCTTTATTTTTGCCATCATTCTGCTGTCAGTATACCAATTTTGTTGTTGTTGATATCTTCCTTTTTGTTTACTTAGTCTACAATAAAGTAGTTACATAAATAATTCTCACTTTAAAGTTTGACAGATTAAATCCTCTAGTGATTACAGGGAAAGTACACATCAATTTGATTTCTAAAGACCAAGTATCACAATAAAAACCTACCTAGAACTTAGCAGTTATTTTTAAACTGTGAGACTTCTCTGAGATTAGGAAATTGTACCAAAAAGGAGGCAGATCAGTCATTTCAGAGAAGAGCCAAGATGCATTTGGTGTAGTAGGGAAGCCAGTGGCGTTTCAGAAAGTGAAAAGTGTAATACGCAGGGAAACTGCTTGGGTGGGAGCATCAGGGAATGTGCCTGTCTCAGGAAGAACCAGTGCAGGTGTGACTTGAAGGGTGAGAGGGAGGCAGCCACAGGAGCAGAGGACAAACCTTCCTGGGGGGCAGAAGTGACAGGACTGAAGGTTATAGGGTGAGGGAGTGCTCCATACATCTGAGAAACAGAAAGAAGGCAGCCTGATCAAGACTCGGTAATGACAGAAGTGGGCTGTGGTTGTGTCCTCTCACTGTGCAGGTCATGGTGAAGCGTGGTTTCTGTTCTCTGTGCTGTAGGAAACCAGGGTAGGGCATATGTTCCCAAGAGCATGTAGTGCAAGGTGTTTTCATTTTAAAAAATCATTTGAGGCAAGAGAGCAGTTGGGCAGGATTGAGACATAGAGCAGGTGTAGCCCAGGCAAACTCACGGCGGTAGTATCCTGTCGGCACCGTGGGCTTGGCTCAGTGCCTGGCCTGTCAGCTTCTCAGGATTTTCTACAAGGCTGTTTCAGAGCTCAAAAAATGTATTGGCTCCAGTATTAGATATTCATTCAGATTTATTATGATTTCATTTGAAATCATTTGTAGATTAGGTTTTTCTCAGTTTACAGTGAATCCTAACTGTAATGGATACCTAGAAATGCCAAACCTTAGTTAAAGAGTTACGCATAGCCATATAAAGGACGATTAGAAGAATCTTGTCAGAAGTTTTAAAAAATCTGGAAAATAAGTGTATGTAAGATGTAGGTTTGTTTTACTGTTTAATAATTACTGTGGACTTTGAAAAATATGGCTACTTATAGGCTGGGAAAGTCTTGAAAGGTGAAGTGGTAGGAGTAGAGGTGGGCAGAACTGGCTTCGCACTCAGTTAAACCGTTTTTGAGGCCCGATGGCCCTGCTGGAAGTGAGGAATGAGGGGAGTCCTGAGGAGAGGCTCCCAGCTCGAGCAGGTAGTGCAAGTGTGTGCATAGATAGCATTTGATGAAGAAGGCAGAGCTGAGAAAGAAGCGAATTTTGGACGCGCCCTGTGAGGGCTGTGGATTAGAGGTATTTGGTGGCATACAGTTTAAAAGTACTTAGTTCCCTCCAAGTTTCGTGTACAGATGGTACACGGTGCTGTGCTCCTACAGCTTGTTGCCTCGGAGCTTTTGTGTTTCTTGGGCTTTGTTCCTGGCATGGAGCAGAGCAAACCACATGCCAGTGAAGGGACCTCCTGGCAGTGTGGCTGCTGGGGAAGAGCTGCAGGTTTCACTACCACTTTGCCTAGTTGAGGTTTAAAGTTGTCCTGTGCTGATCTGCAGTAGGACCCAGACTCCCACACAATTCATGTTTCTGCCTTTCTGTGGAGAGATGCTGGGAACACTTGGGAGCCAGGTTTCCTGGGGCGAGGGTGCTGGTGGTATCTTACTGTAGGTCTGGTTGAGACATGCAGTAGGAATGGAGAAAATGGAAGTATTAAACATAAACGAGGGAAACCTTTAAAATCTAGTCTTGTCTTTTGGTGTTCAAATTACAAGTACCTTTGTGTACGACTTCTTAAATCTTATTGAAGCAAATCCTTTTAATAATTAGATAATTATTTATTGTAATAGGTAGATTCAGAAGTAAATCCAGGCGAGATCAAAGAAATCCTAGAGACCTAACATATTAATGAAAATATAATTCTGACATTTTGCCCTCACTGTGTTTTAGCTGGTCTTAGAGCTCCTCCTACTGACCAATTACATGATCACAGTATATCCTTTAAAAATCTGATATATGTAGTTCACTGGGTTAAAATTCAGAATACTATTAAAGTTTGGTAAAAGTTTAAAAATGAGTTTATTTTCCATGTTGATCCTTTCAGAGGTTAAGCAGTGTTCTTGTTCCTGTTATTTTATATGGTACCGTTTATATGTTTAAGAGGGAAACAGTCCATAAAGCTTTAACCATTTGCATGTCCTGAAGTGTCTGAAAATTATTCTTTTCCAGCTCCGATCGGTGTTGGGGACCAAACTCCTGTGAAGGATTTTCCTGGTGCCGCAGGGGCAGTCTCTGCATACGGCCCTGGGGCTGCGGGTGCTGCTGTGGTACCGGACGTCAGGAGCCCAGCCCGAGCCCCGCACTTGCAGCTATCTGAAGGAAAGGTACGGCAAAGCAGTGTGACGTGGTTTAAGCTTGTCCTTGGATGAGAAGCTGGTTGTTGCATTTCTCTTTCAGAAATGAAATATTTATATTTATCATTGCGTGTTCTGTGTTGGTGTAATTTCCCAGTTTTCAAATATGGTAGACTCTCGCTGGTTTGGACTGTAGTTTCTAACCTCCTTTTAGCTGTTATTCAGAGCAAAATATTTCAACATAAATCACATTAATGCTAGTAAGTAATTCATTGACCTTTCTCTCTTTATGATTATCAATTAAATCACCAAATTACAGAAGCATGGTGATTTGGAATTTATATTTGGTTTGTTACAAGTAAATTTTAAAGTTTATTTAAACTATGTTGACTTGAAATTTTTTACATAAACAAAGGTGATCTTTATGAAAAATTTTACTTTTCATTAATACCTGTGACTGAAAAGAAATTTTAACACAGAGAGTAATTGTTTTGTGGGTAGTGGGAAATTGGTGTGTTTTGGCTTTATTTTGTTCATTTCCCATAGTGAATGGAGGAGTAGCTTCTGTTGTGTTCTCACATTCATCACTGTTGTGCTCCCTGGGGCAGTAAAGTCTCTTCAGTGCTGACTTGAAGAACCTTTGTGTTCTTCCGGTCTCCTTGCCATGTGTGTGCAGAGCAGCTTGGAAGTAGGGGCAAGCAGGTGTGCATGCACACACCAAACAGAGCGATGAGATTTTCCTGATGATTTTAACTTTGAAAATTTTAAAGACATGCAAAGTGAGTCCACAAAGGACCTGCTAGATAACATAGCGCCACTGCCTTAGCGATCCCTGCAGTTAGAACCACATATACCTACAGTGGGGTTCTCAGCGACCTTTTGGGTCCTCTCTTCTGCCGGAGGACACTAATATTTGACATAAAATCATTTACAGTCTAGTGTTAAAGAATTGTGACTGTCATGTTGAAAATTACACAAGCCAGGTATGGTGGAACATGCCTGTAATCTGGAAGGCCAAGGCAGGAGGATTGCAAGTTCAAGCCCCACGGGAGCAATTTAGGGACTTAGTGAGACCCACCTCCACTGCCAATGGCTTGGCTTAGCACAAAGACCCTGGCTTCAGTTCCCAGTACTGTACCAGCACTGCGGAACAAACAGAAATTGTGCCCAAGAAAATCCTTCAACTGCTGAGTAATTGTTAGAATTGTTTATTAAAAATAATTATGCTAAAGAGGCATCCAGGAGAGTAGTTTACAGAAGAAACAGAAGAGCACAGTATTTCTTCTGAAACAGAAGAACACAGTATTTCAGAATATTTCTGTTCCATTTCCCTATTGAATTTGAACTATACACTTGTGTTTTAAATTTTTTCCTTTTTTAAAACTAGAAAATGTTCTTATCTTTAAAATTCAAAAGAAATCTTACTTGTCTTTAGGAAATGACTGGTTGTGCTGGGTTTTTCCTGATGCTTTGAATGTTTGTCAGCATCCAGCCTTCAGAGCGAATAATACCAATTGCGTTCCCAGGATTCATGGGGAGCCAGTTTGAAAATAATAGTTAAAACAGTTGGTATCTCTAAGTTTTAGGTGATAAAATAGTCCAATTTTCCTCTGTAAGTAAGGATCATGATTCATTTTCTAACTGCACTGTTAATATGAAACATACTTGAGAGTATAGTTTTCACTAACTACCCATTTCTTCTTTTCTCCTTCTTTCCTTGCATTCCTCTTTCCTGTGAACATGTCTGTGTAATGCACGCTCCCCCATGGGTTTGCTCTGGAAAACAGACTGTTTGCATGTGCCCACCATCCCCTCTCCTCCACTGTACTTCACCATTTTCTCCACACCTTCTGCCAGTCCCTGAAGTGGACTTGCTTTCAGACATTTCAGAGGAAGACCCTTCTGGGGAGGCTGAGCAGCTCACCCTAGACAGCTTAGAGCACCTTTCCACAGGTGAAATTGCAGAGCAGGGGGCCCCGGAGAGGGCCACGCTGGATTCTGTGTCCGATCCTGTTGTAGCCCCTGCCCAGCCCGACTGTCCTTCTCTCGTCCATGAGAAGACTCTTAGCAGGGCTGACCAGGAGGCCTCTGAGTTCAGTTACTTCTCCTTTGGCTTCCACAAATGTTTCCCATCTGGCTTTCCCTCCCTTCTGGATGAAGATGGGTATCTCGCCTTCCCCAGCCTCCCCAGGCTCTGGATCTCCTTCCTTCCACCTGACGTTCAGCACTATGTCCCTGTCACCTCCCGATCATTCATTCCTTCTCTCATCCTCATTTTTGGCTTACTTCTCTCTGCTTCTCAGTCCGTTCCTTTTTCTCTCACCTTTTCACTTCCTGTGGCTCTAGCCCTCTGTTATCTGGAAGCTAAAGCCACCTCCTTTAATGTTCCTTATGACTGTGACTTGAATGACAAAGCAGAGGAAGAGGAAGCAGTTGCTGGCATTCCTCCATAAGCTTTGTTTTGTGAAGTCAACCAAACTACACTTCACCTTGTACCCTTCTTCATATGGAGTGTAAACATGTGCATAAACTTCACTGATTCCCTTCGGCATAGTATCGCCCGCACACTTTCATATGCACAGTGTGCTAGTGCATGAGAGACAAAGGTAGGCGCCCTGCATTGGTGCCCTTCCACCAGGTCCATGTGTTCTGAATTGAGACCAAAATGGTAAGATTGTTTTAAAAATATCTAGATCATGTTAGATTTTTAACAGAGTGGGGCAGAGGAAACCTATATTGTCCTTAAATCCATATTGACTTTATTTTTTAGACAGATGTTAATGCTGTTCCTTTAGGATGGGAACTTTATGTTTGAAACAGAACTTAGAACGTAGTAAACATAACAGTGACAGATGTGTATTAGAACGCCTTAGTGTTATATCTCCTGGTTGCAATACAGGTTTGTTCTTGATGAGGTTGTATCTGTGTGAGTCTTTGTAAGCTAGTCTGAGAAACTCCTTGTTTCCTATCACTGTAGCATTTGAGGACCAGATAGGTAAATTTTAGCTAGTGCCCCCAGTCCTAAATCATGAAATTATATGAATGAGTCAGTCAGGTATTTTATAAGGAAGATGTGTTCTGTTACCATTAACAGATGTGTGTGAACAATGAAGCATGACTCTCTGAAAGCTTGCAACATTAACATGGAGCTTTTATTTTTATTGAAAATGGGGTGTCTGGTATAAGGACATTTTTTACCTCTGTATAAGCAACTTTTTAAAAAAGTGTATTAGTTCTGCACTGCTAAGTCAGTGTAAATATATGAAGTGTGTTTTTAAATTATTTTGCTAAGTGTGGTCTGATGATTCAATGTGTCATAGCTTATGGATACTGTCAGTACATAGAATAAATCACAAAATTCAGAGTAAATCTAAGATAATGTGAAGAAATGCAATGAATATACATTGTATGACAAACCACAGTTCAAAAGTTTACCTGAGAAATGGCAAAGTTCAACATTTTAGAGAATTAAATGTTGACCTAAGAATTGAAGGATGATTCTTACCAGACTGTTGAGTAGTTGTGTCTTACTTTACTCCACTTCTCATAAACTCTTTGAGCTTCTTGCTTATCTCTCAAAACTACTACGGTTACCAGAAATGAAGGTAAGCATTTTGAACTCTCATATTTGCCCCTAGCAAAGAAAGAAAAGAATATATGATATGAATTAGCCTGTAATGGTTATTTTTCTTTGATATCAGAATCGGTATTTTTCTTTTCCTGGTATCAAAATTCATTTAATACTTAAACTTCAAATTTATATTTCTGGGTCATTAGACATTGAGAAAAGTCCAGTTATGGAAAACTAATCTTGTTTGAAAATTATATGAAAGAACAGGGTTATATTTCAAACATTTTAAATACCTACCATTTGAATAGGAAAGTAGCCCCTTTTTCTCCCAAGAAATTCATATTTAAAAATTAGCAATAAGGTATAATGGTGTAAAATCTGTAACCAATACAAAGCTGAAGACAAATTTTATTTCAGTATACTCTGCTCTGTCACTAGTTGATTTAGATATTTCAGAGTAGAACAGATTAAATATGCCATATTTGCACTCTCATATTTTCATTCTCGGGTTAAAAAAATACACAAAAGCAGAGCACAGTCTAGGGACTGAGAAAGAGGGAAGGTTCCATTCTCCATTCCACCTTGCAAGGATCATTTCCATCATGTGTACAGCACTGTAGGTGAAGAACAAAGTGGCTTACTAGTCTGCATCTGCTGAGGGCCAGACAACAAAGGTTGGTAATGCTGCATCATCGTTTAAGTTCAAAAACAGCCTCTGCACTGAGGGTAGAGTTCCAATTAATGCTCTCCTTCTTTCTGGCAAATGCTGCAAGACTTTTCAGGTGAAGACAGAAAAGGAAGCACAGTTGGAAGAAGTGGCTGTTTTTCCCCTAAAGTTAAATATCTGGTGGCTGCTGCCTGCCATTATTGTTGAGGGGTGGTAGTGGAATGTACTTCCCAGGGTTTATTTGTGAGATTTATTTGTTGTACCTTTAAGTTCATAAGATTTTTATCCTCATTTATTTTAAAGTCTTAGAGTGTCAAACTCTGGGTCTTTCCTGGTGCTTGCTGATTGATACACTTATGTTTATTTGCCTTTTTCTCCCTGTGTGTGATTTAATTTCACAGAAAAATTCCTTGAGAGTAGAAGGGGATAATATTTATGTCAGACATAGCAATTTAATGTTGGAGGTTTGTATAATCTAAGAAAACCACTCTGTCCTAATGGCTGCCAGGCTGCTGTGGACGGGAGGTCACGCACAGGCTCGCTGGCAGCTTTCCAAGCACAGTGCATGAAACGCATGGGGAGATGGAACTGGGAGTGCATGTTACCAGGCCTGCTTGGTCCATGTCCAGTGGCGTAGGTAGGAATGGAGCCATTGCATTCTCAGAGTGACAACTGGGACAAAGCTTTGTGTAGTCAAGCGAATAAAGCTTATCTTTTCGTCTTAAAGTTGTTCTATAAGTAAACCTATTTTCCTAATAAGGTATTTCAAGGGCATAGAATCTGAAGTAAGTCAATCCCACCTTTGATACACATTAAGTAGAACAGATTTTGTTTATCTGAGATTAAAGCGTTTGTTTCTTGATCTATGCCCACTTCCCCCATCCCTAAATTCCATGTAACTAGGAATGTGGTCCACTTAAAATGTTTATGAATATATTAATTAGTGGAATTATTTTGATTAGAACGAAAGAGCAAGAGAGAGAGAGAATGCCTAACCACCCATGTCACACGAGAACAATTTTTCCTTCTCCCACTAGGATAGGTAGTATGTGGCAGTGTATTTACTGGAGAACTGCAGCTGTCAATAACCTGACTAATCTGGTTGCTTTTGGCAGCTTTGATAACTGTTGAAAATGTATTTCTGCTTAACTTACTAAAAATGCTGTATGGTGTAATGAATAACATTGCTTTGAATAAATGCAAGAAATGTGCCTGATCTCAAGCCACAGTTGGTTTCCCATGCCATGCAAAGAGTTTTAGATTTTCATGAGTTTTTGCAAATGGCTATAGAAGCTCACAAATGAGCTACTATGCTTGTGCATGAATATGAGTTATCTAATTTTATCAAATGCATGACCTGTTCCTTTGGGAGTCGGACAAAAGCTATAACCTACAGGTGACCCTTTGATTTTTGAAACGTTAGAAAACATTTAAAATTCACATGAAACACTTTCCTAAGCATTAATTACCACATACACCATTTATCAGAGCCAGGCTGGAAAAATCTTACTAATACCATTTGTCAGGGCCTACTTCAATGAAAACTGTCCTGGTAGTTTCCTCACATCTTTGTATAAGGAATATTTGATGTGTGCAGTAGCTGAGCCCCATTTTTGTGCTTGGTGCTACATGAGACCAGTATGTTATCCATTTTTTATAGCAAGACCAAGCAGAAGCAGCCTCTGGAAGCAGTTATTATTATTTTTTTAAGGATTAAAAACTACCACCAGAATATCCTGACAAAAGTCAGTCTTCGAGTTTTCCTTTTGTAGGGGTGATCCTGGACTGGCTTTTCCCCGCAGGCCCAGTGTGCTTCTGAGTCTGTGTCTCTGTTTCTCTGATTTACTACGTTCATCGAATACAGTAGTAGCCCCAAGGAGAAAGAGAACTTCGTAGGAACAAAGTCAGGCTGCAGTTCATCCTCAAGAGGATTATTAGACATTTTTGACAGTGTGTTCCATGGCTTCCTTTTAATAATTAAAATGATTACTCTTGAAAATTCTACACAGAAATTAAAACCCTTTAAAATACAAATTATAAAAGATACATATTGGCTTTATTTTCAGTCAAGGCAAAAATACTTATGGCTTTTGAGACTTGGCATTTTTCTTGCTTTACTGTTTTTTTAATCACAAGTTTGCTTTGTGTTATTTTTTTATTTTTGTCCTACTGGGTTTTTTCCTTTTGGATTTTTTTCCCCTTACGTTACGAATTGCTAGGACCTGGATAAAGCCCAGGAGGACATACTGAAACATCAGGCTAGCATTAGTGAACTCAAGCGCAATTTTATGGAATCCACACCTGAGCCGCGCCCTAACGAATGGGAAAAACGACGTATCACACCTCTGTCCCTACAGACTCAAGGGGTATGTCACTAGCTATTTATTGGTCATATGTCTCAGTCCGATTGTTCAGTAAAACTCAGGTTGTTGACCTTGTATGTTGATGCTCCGAACTTGGAAAATATTCCCATTTCTTTTTGTAAGTGCTAACAACTTTTAAAATACTAAATATTTATTAACAATGAGATATTATTGGTCTGGTTCTTAGGTAATTTGTATGTTAAAAATATTTTTGAAATATTTTCAGAGTAATTTCACTATTTTATTCAGGTTATTTATGAATTAATGAATTTACTCATAAGACAGAAACTTACATAATACTTAATAAGCTTCTTATTGATTTCTAAAATACTATAAGGACATTTACTTAGTAAATCAAATGTAATTAAAGGAATGTAGATCATATTTTAGAATGGTTTAAGGTCATTACTGTGAGGATAATGAGTTAAAACTCTACTTTTAGGGACTGATAAGCCCTGTTGAAAACTTGTAAAATGTTATATGTAATGCAATTTAATATCAAAATTTCTAGTAATGGTATAGAGAATAATTTTTAAAAATGTTTTCAACTATAATGTCTCTCCTAACTCATTTTTCTTTCCATAGTTTACCTCTCCCTACCATAAGAATTGCTTTCAGAATATATTCTCAGAATACTTCTCTATCCATTCCGTCTGTCTCTGTTCTTCTCAGCCATTCCTGCTTCTCCTGTGGTTGACCAGGAATCTCCATGTGATCATCCTTCTTAAGGGGCAGTGGATTATACCATGTGTAACCTCAGTGTAAAAAAATCATACAAAAATGTTACACTACATTTCATCTTTCTCCTTGCAGTGTCTAGTATGGCTTGAATGTTGCCAAGTTCAACGCATTTAATTTAGATGTTCTTGTGCTGTTCTTATTCACCTTCCCTTAAGCAAAGCTGTTAGTTGCTCTTTTGTGACACTGAAAATAGTGCGTTAGGAACAGATGAGCAAAAATAGTTGCTGAACTGAAAAATAAAACTTCTGAAAATATTAAGACTTTAAACATCACGGATTATAGAATCTTGTGAAGTTAATAAATCCTTATGTTCAGAGTTTCTGAAGATAATGTCGGCAATCTACTCTAAAGTGTTTTGGGGGAAACATGATACGCTAAGGTTTTGGCCTTCGTGTGCTTCATCTGGTTGGTGCTACTGACACTGACAGCCCCTCCCATTGTTTTATGTATGTGTTGCTGTAGGTGTAATGTATATGTCTTGTTTGTTGATTGTGTCTGTTGTTTGAAATAATAGAGAAAAGGAGACCATCTTTTCAAGGATATTTTATCCATGAAGGAGAAGTACCTGGTGGCAACTACACGGCCAGTTGAAGAAAAAGCCCAGGAGGCGGACAAGGTGTTCACCTTGCATCCTTGGATCTACTCTTGCTTTTTCCCTTTTCCATTTATTTCTGTCCAAAGCCATATGTATTCCTTTTTTCTTATGTATCAATCTGAAATTTTTTGGAAATAATTTTTTGATGTTTAAACAATCAAGTCCCCATGTATAGAAGCATAGAATCACTGGGCAGAAACACCATATTGCACAAACATCTTGCCTGAAAATTCTTTGAAATGTAGAAGTTTAGAGATAAATGGTCCTAATTTATGTGTGTGGCTAACAGTTGGGAAACAATAATTTCATGTGAAAATGCACTGTGCAACACTTATTCATACTGCGGTACTGAGATAACAAGTTACATGTACGTTAGTTAGATTACTAGCTTAATGATCACATGAAACTTTTGAATTTTCATTTTTAAGGTTCCTAGTAAAAAAAAAAAGCATTTCTATGCACCATAGCAGCTACTCATATCGATCTGTGCTTCTGTATATATGAAATACTGGCATTAGTGAGAAAATTAGCTTTCTGTTTCTTTTACATTCTCAATCTTTTGTTTCTACTGATTTTGCTTAGCCAGCTGGTCAACCTGGAGAGTTTAGAGTCTGGTGGAGGAGATAGACAGCAATTAGTAATTAGAGAATTTCAGGTACTAAGAGGTAAGTGTTCAGAAAGTAGTGTAGACTGTTATGTTAGAAGACTGCCTTACCATTGTGGTCAGGAGGAGATGGCATTTGAGATGAGACTTTAATGATGACAAGGAGTATGTTTGTTAGCTTTCCTTTTGCTAGACAAAATGGCTGGCAGCTGTTCCTTAAAGGAGTAGAGGTTAACTTTGATTCATGGTTTCAGAAGGCTTATTGCGTGGTTGCCTACCTCCAAGGCAGAAATGGCAAGGGGGAAGATTGTATCAGAGGAAAGGTGCTCAACTCATGGCAGTCAGGCAGCAGAGATGCAAGAGAGGGCCAGAGTGAGAGATGTACCTCCAAAAGCATGCCCTGAGTGACCCCCTCCCCACTGAATGCTACTTCCTAGGAGCACATTCAGCTGTCCCTTCAGAGTGGAGCTGAAGACCAAATGACAGTGGCTTAGTGAACATGAAGGAAGGAAAGGTCAAAGAGGTAAGACCCCAGATCATGTCCCGGTCTTAAAGATCGTGTTACTAAAAAAAAGAAAAAAGAAAAAGGTAGTGTTACTAGTTTAGGATGGTATGGCAACTTTAAGGGTGAGCAGTGATGCAATGCTGCACATGTCAGAAGGAAGTCTGTCTCTCACTGGATAAGAAAAGGATTATAGAGGGTGTGAATGAAAGCAGAGATCAGTAATGAGGAGTGAGTATTTCCTTCCCACAGAGGAGATTTGGTTAATCAGTAGAGAACATTTTCAGAATATACAGTGAGGTGAGGGAGGAGGCAAAGTACATGGAAATTCCCTCAAGGACTCTGACCTCTAGTTGAGATGAAATATTTCCAGAACATTGTAGTGACGAACCTGCTGTCAAAAGGCCTAAGCAAATGGTATACTTATATATACATTAAAGGTTAGTTTGAAATCCAAAGCCAATAAGACTCTATATAATGAAGATTTTGATATCCCATGCTTTGAAATATTAAGTATTTTTAGAAATCCATCTTCTAGAAGCTAATTGAATGACATAATTTAATCAAATTTATAGTGATATCCTTGGACTCTTTGCAGTTAGACTGGACTTTTGCAGAAGATGTTCAAAATATCGTATTTATGGATCTCATGTTTTAGGGTTGTGCAATATAAAATGTCTTTTAGAAGTTATAAGACAGTAACTTTGTTAATGAACTGTTTGCTTTGACTAATACCTGACATAATTTAAAGGAGGAGAGATTGCTTGGGGCTCACTGTTTCAGAGATTTCAGTCCATAGTCAGCTAGTTCTCTAGCTGTGGCTGTGAGTGAGATGGAACATCATGGCAGTGGGTGTGGCAGCCAGGAAGTGCAGAGGGCGAGAAAAGAGCCGATGGCTGGGGATATAACTCAGTGCCTACCTGGCAAGTGCAAGGTCCCGAGTTCAATTCCCGGTACCAAAAAAAAAAAAAAAAAGAAAAGAGCTGAAGAGGAAGGGCTGAGGAACTAGGGCCCAGGTTCAGTCCCCAGGATCTATGCCCTTTAGTTAGGCCCGCCTCCTAAGTTTCCACTTCCTTTTAGGAGTGCTGGCAAATTATGATCTCATCAGTAAATCAGTCCTCCAATGGAGTTAGAGCCCTTGTGATCCAGTCATCTGTAGAGAGGCCCACCTTGGAACACATGCGACTTTGAAGGGACAATTTAGATCTAAATCCATAAAGTGATATTTAAATTGGGAAAAGTTCCTAGATAGCTTATCTGTACTTGAAGTTGCTGCCTTTTCCCTGTTCTTTTCTTCTTTAACACGTGTAGAGAAATATATAATACTTGACATGTGCATGGATTGTTGTAAGTACACTCAGCCATTCAACCAAGAAACATTTATTGACCACCTATAATATAATTAAATATTTATATTATTACGGTTGTCTTCAAATAACATGCCACTGCTATTAATTGGAAGTACCTGAACATTTGAGGTACTGGGATTGACTTGAACAAAACATCTTTTCAGTTTCTGTCTTTGCTTCTTCCCTTTGCTACTGGTTTTGTAGGGTTTCTTTTTCATCTTTGAATTGTAATCCTTTTTGAAGTACAAAATTTAAAATTATATGTAAATATATAATTTGACCAAAATTTTCAAATTCCCATCATACAGGCTTTATAGATTTAAAAAGTAGTAATAATTTTTTGTTAAAAATAAATACATTAAGTTTATTCATTTTTGAGATAGACTCTCGCTTTGTAGTTCAAGCTGGCCTTAAACTCACTGTGTAGCCCAGGCTGGCCTCTCAGCCTCCCCAGTGCTGGAATTACAGGTGTGCACCACCGTACCTGGCCAGATAAATTTAACTTTGAAGAGGAGTGATTTTGAAAGTAGAACAGAGAGTAAGGACACCACGTCTTTAAGTCTTTTATTGGGTAAATGAATCTTGGTATCCTCTAATATATTGTAAGAATCATGAGAACCTTAAGCTTGCATATTCTGTCATGAGTCTAATAGAAGTTACGTAGGCTGTAGTTTAAAGATGCTTTTGATGGTTTCCTTTGAATAATTAAATGCATGGCACTTAAGTCCCTTTCTTTCTGGGAAGGGGCTTTCCTTCCACCCTGACTCAGCATGGTGTAACAGTGGGGATTGTAACTGCACTTAGTCTTGAATATTGAACACGCTTATCCACTTACCCCTCTTCACCCACTTAGCCTCACTGTCTGAAAGAGCATCTTGTAAAAGTCATGCATCCTTTCAAGACTGCTGAAGCATGAGTTTTATTAAGAATTATTTTCGCACACTTCTGACATGAGAGAGAACATCATAGTTAGTCCTTAGTGATATTCCAAGTTCCTGAGGACCGTCCCCAGCTTTCCTTTCTCCCTTCAGTCAGGTGAACAACCGTTGTTTAAGGGCTAGAAATGTGAAAGTTGAGTCCAGGGACAAATGTACAGAAGAAGTAATTCAAGTGCAGAAGCCACTGGAAAGGCCTTTGTATGCAGGCGGAGGCCAAGGAATTATAAGAGTATATGTACTTGTGTTTAATGGACAGGTAGGTTGTGCTCAATTTGTGATAAAATATCAGTGACAAACTGAGGCGCGTTAGCTGGTTTGTTGAGGTTACAGCTACCGGAGATTTTTAGGCAGGGTGGAAATACTGGCATTCAGGCAAAACTCCACATAAGCCAGCTGCAAAATCTTCAAAATTCTTCTTTTCATTTTATGCTGTCCTGTTGTCTTTCTTGTGTAACCTTTCCATTCTTTCAATAGGTCACTGCTGTCTTTCTGATGTATTAATTCTTTGCTCTTCCTTTTCTGACCTTTCTAGAGCCTAGAAGAGGAGATAACATCAATTTTGTTTAGTGCAAAGGGGTTTTCTGATAGCGCGAAGGCCACCTTCCTTTCAGCGGCCACTTGGACAGCAGAGGGCGCAGTTGTGAGCTCTAATGCGCCTTCTAGAGAAAAGCTTTCCTCCTCCTGGCCCTTCTCACATTTGCCTGAGGTGCATTTTACTTTGTTTCCCCTGTTACTAAAAGCCACATAAAAGAGTGATTTTCACATTTTGAATTTTCAGACACCCTTCCCGCCAGTGCTTTCACTGGTGAAATTAACTCTCCCTGGGAGAAACATTCAAGCACAATGACCGAATTTGGACATGAGGAAAAGAAACAGATTGGATGTTTCTCCTTGCTTCTTTTAGTAAAAACAAAAAACAAAAAACAAAGTCTGCCTAAATTCAGAGAATCATTGAGACCATTACAGCACAGAGCCCGAGTTACTGAGCAGAGGAAATGCCCACCGAGTAGAGGTTTGGTGTGCTTCGCACAGTTCAGGGTTTCAAAACCCACATTTCAGGCTGCTTCTGATTTAATTTCTCAATTGCTTATGTAGAAAAATTGAAATGCCTACCATCCTGAAGTAATGTTTTTGAATGATTCTAAGGGATTCCCTGAGCTTAGGCAGAACCTATTAAGCCCTTTGAGGTTGGTAGTAATAGTGATAATAACTCACTGACCTTTAATAATCATGAAATGTGTGTTTTAGAAGTGTTCTGATCACTGGATGTCTTTATTTATCAAGGAGTTTGTAAGTCGTTACCTGCTTACCAAAACAGATTCAGTGTTTCTCAGTTTCATGTCTGAACCCTCCAGGTTACCCATGAGACTGAAGGGTGATGCTCCTGCTCTGTCGGTCACAGGGTTTTCAGAGTAGGAATTTCGAGCAACTCACACATGCTTTCAGCATGCTTTTCAGAACAGCTCAGCAGTCACGCAGGGCATGTGAGCGTGTGCCGCTAGGTGCTGCCCGAAAGTGCACAGTGAGCGCTGTTAGCTCTGTGTGGCCCTGCTGCTGTAGGACACAGCTCAGCACAGTTAGTGCTCTGGTAGCGCCATCATGGGTAGCACTGAGAGGGGGACTGAGGCAAACGCCTCTCTGTGGTCAGCATCAAGGCACTGCCTTGAATGGACAGACCTACTGTCTCTCGCTGATTTATTTCTAATTAGGTTACTGGTCATAGTGCCACCTGAATGTCATTGTTACACTTATTTGTGGCAATGTAAAATAATCTGTTTTGTAAATGACAAGAAATTTGAAGCTTTAAAAACAAACTCATCCAAAGAAGCATTTCTACTATAGCTAATAATACCACAGCACAGTAGTTTATAATATAGGTAATATATTCAGTCAACAGGTATTTCTTGAAGATTTAGCTACTGTATTACTCAAATAGAATACATTAATTTACTCCCAGGAAATTGTTATTGGAGGGGATAAAAGTGAGCATCTCCAATGATAAACTTGCTCTGCTTGAGATTTTAAAGATACTGGGGAAAGAGCTAGAGTTTGCAGAGGAAATACTGGAGCACCCTTGACTCTGCCCCAGTGTATGACATCCCTCCTGCTGATCATAGTACTGATTGCCATGTTAATAAATGTCTCTGAAATGAACATTTTTATGTTAATAATTGTCAGAGATGAACTGTAAGTTTGTCAATCAAAGCTATTTTTAAAATTTTTATTTAAAATTTTTTTAGCAATGAAGTTTCTTTATGTTGCTTAGCCTGGCCATGAACTCCCAGTTCTCTCTATGTGACCTCCCAAGTAGCTGCAATTACAGGTGTGTGCGCCACTGTGCCCTGCTCAGAGCTGTTCTTTTAAAAATGCCCCCACCGCCCCAAAGCAGAGGTCATTTCCTTGTTGTTGTATTTATTTAGAAACCAGGGCTCGAGGCTAAGCTCCAAAGTCTGACTGAAACCAAAACCGAAACCAAACTGTTGAATAAATTTTAAAAGTTTTCCAATTTATCCTTCAAAATAATCAGTAAACTTTGGTATACTTCCATATTTTTATCAAAATTTCAACTACATAAGTGGAGCTATGTTAGGTATAACTCCATAGTGAATGCATTTTATTATTTTTTTGTGAGGATGCCTAGTGTTTTGTTCTTTTTGTAAGCTTTTTGGCATTTGTCTCATTGTCTTCTGTGTGACCTTTGGGCAAAGGTTTTTGTAGCTGTTGATTCTCGCTGTTCTGTCTTTGCAGTGTCAGATGTCTGTGTGGTGGTGTTGAGGTAAAACTGTATTGATTTTGTGTCCTCGGTTGCTTTTTGTTCCGCAGACACGTGCTCCCGCGTCAGAAGGGCCTTGCACTGGAGCCAGGGATGCTGTTAAGGTTCTCCCCTTTCTGTGTTCACACCATTGCCCGCCGCCTTCCATCCCCCTCATGCTTGTCCGCTTCCCTTCCAGTCAGCCTTCATAATCATCCTTGTTTTCTCCATGACATGAACCTGCCATCCGTTGATTTGGGTTTCCGTTGTTTTTATTTATTCATATATTTTTGTTTTCCCTCCTCCATCTTTTTTTCATACAGAGTTCACATGAGACTCTGAATGTAGTGGAGGAGAAGAAGCGGGCAGAGGTTGGGAAAGATGAAAGAGTAATCACAGAAGAAATGAATGGTAAAGAGCTATCACCTGGGAGTGGTCCTGGGGAGATTCGTAAGGTGGAGCCTGTGGCACCCAAAGACTCCACCTCCCTGTCTTCTGAGAGCAGCAGCAGCAGTGAGAGTGGGGAGGAAGACATGGGCGAGTACCAGCCCCAGCAGCGTGTGACCGAGGGCACCATCAGGGAGGAGCAGGAGGAGTGTGACGAGGAGGCGGAGGAAGCGCCCGGCCAAGCCGCCCAGGTAGTGGACAGGGAGGAGGCAGTGCCCGAAGCCAGCCCGGACAGACGCACAGGGGCCGGCATAGGCCCGGCAGACACAGAGGCCCAGGACCATGTAGTTGGCCCCAAGGGATCTGGGGAGAAGAGTGCGAGCGAAGGCACTGCTCAGGAAGACGGGAGAGAAGAGACCGAGGAGGAGCGACAGGAAGTTAACGGAGAGGTGTCTCATGTTGACATTGATGTTTTGCCACAAATTATTTGTTGTTCAGAGGTAAATGGGAGTCCGGAGTGGGAGCTAAACTACTGAGTTTCTTCTCAGGTGGGGACACCTGCCTTTCTCCTCCCGATTCGCCTGCAACTTTTTCAGCAAGAATCTGGTTTTTCTGTCCTGGGAAGAAGGGCGAAAGCACTGCTTTGTAGATTTTCTGCCAGCTCAGTTCATGGTTTCTGGCTTCTTTACTGCAGCTGGATCACCTGTAGGGTAAACTTTCCTACAACCACCACATCAGTTTTTTCTTCCGTTTCTCATTTTTCTTTGCATGTTTTGGGTGCTTCCAGCTGTTTTGTCTTTAGTTGCGCTGCTTCCTTGCACTGAATGCCTTTTTTCACTGGTTTCATAGAAAAATGTATATGTAATGTCACACAGTGGTCGATGCGAGTGTGTGTGCTCCTGTTGTCGCGACAATTTGACCTTTTGGCTCACTCTCTCATTCCTCTACCTGAGGTTCTGGGAACGGGCAGCAGGCTGTGATTGCATGATGCTGTGGAAGTGGCATCCGGCGGTGACAGGAGGGTTCTTTCCTGAGTGCCGCTGTGACTTCTGTCTGTAGATGCCAGGGGTGGAATGGCTTGGTTAAGGGCCTTTCCTTCCTTCTGGGCAGCCGCAGTCTCCACTGTTCCCTTCTCGTTCTGTCTTTACATCAACTCTGGGTTTTTTAAATATCAATTCTGGATCTGATTTTGTTTTGTGGATTATCAACATTGGACATAAGTCTTTCCCTTTTCAAGAAATAGAACTTTGCAGAGTCGCCTCAAATGAAGTCTTGGTCATTAGGCGCAGTGTCTCTCTTATGAGAGTGAGTTAGGATTGGGGAATGTTTCTGAACTGAAGTGCTCGCAGTGTAGAGATGTATCCATACTTGCTCTCTTTGAGGGGGTGGACAAATATCAGGGTGACTTTGACTCAAAATAATTAATGCATTTTTGCCATGTTGCCTTGAAACGTTTCACTTCAGAGAAGACATTTCAAGAGTCTTTGAACTTGGAATTACGATTTTCTGCATTTAATATAAAGTTGTTCCTCTTTGAATAATTATACCTGCTGGGATTTTTCTACAGAAAGTGCTGTAGTATTTTTGTAACTGTATTGTACATGTGCAGCAGAGTACAGTGTTAACAGACCACTGAATCTCTCCATCCTTGCTTTAAATTATTTAAAGCATTTATGCAACATTCGTGGGGTAATTGTAGATAACACATTGTAACATATCGAACACAGAAGAAACACTGCAAGTTTTAGACAAGTGTAATTAAAAACAACTGTACTTGAAGGTATCCTTTCTGAAAATGGCATCTTTTGAGGGAGAAGAGCAAATCTTAGCCAGCCTAGCTTGCATGCCCATTAAAAACAGTGAGCCTTCACACAAACCATGTGGTCCGTTAAACAGCAGTAAAATTAGAGATGTGTCACTTAGCATAGTTCATTCTGCTTTCTCTTCAGTGTTGTTAATTATTTTCTAAAAGTGGTGCGTGCACATCAGTGTAGTACATTTGAGATGATCATAATTTGAAGGGCAGCATAGTTTAGGGGACCATTGCATTAGCTTATGTTTCATATGTACACATATGCATATATATACACACGTGTATACAAAGTACATGTATATGCCTGTGTATGACATATTTGAAGGAAAGTTTTTCTTTTTCTTTTTTTTTTTTTTTTT